GTATGAAGCCTGACAAGGAATCTGAATTCGGTGGGCTTCATTTCTTTGATTTTTATAAAGAAGATAAATATGTACAGTGGAAACAGGTAAAAATGATATTATCTTATCTAGCACAGTGTGAAAAATAACTAGTGGTCAATAACTATTTATTAATTATTTTTCCCTCTGTGTGTGTGTGTGTGTGTGTGTGTGTGTGTGTGAGAGAGAGAGAGAGAGAGAGAGAGAGAGAGAGAGAGAGAGAGAGAGAGGGAGAGAGAGAGAGAGAGCAGTTGCTTGAAGAGGCCATAAGAAGATGTCAAATCCCTTGGTACTGCAGTTGAAAACATTTAAGAGTTGTCTGATGTGGGTGCTTGGAACTGAATTGGAGGTCTCTGCAAGAACAGTATGCACTCTAAACTGCTAAGCCATATCTCCAGTCCCAGGTCTTGTGAATCTTTCCAATTGATACATTTCAGTTTCAATGTGTTTGTTGCTATTATAGAATTTAACATTTGATTATCCTTGCTAACTGTCTAGAGTGATGGCTGGTTTTGTTTTTCCTTTTTTGGCCACATTGTAATTCTCTCACATGTCATTTAGCACTGTCTTCACAACCTCTCAGTACTGGCTAGACCTGAGTTTTAATTATTGGCTTGGGATAGCTTCTTAACATGAAAAGAGAGCACTGGAATTGATATCAGGATATAAGAATGATGTTATTTATGGTAGGTAATTTCCTTTTCTCTGGGCTTCCTTAACTCCATGTGTAAGACTAAGGAAGTATGTTTTTTTAAGTCTTTTCTAGTTCACAATATATGTGAGCCTATTTTTATAGTATTGGTTTGACCTGAAATGAAGAGCCGTACATTAAATAAATCTTTATAGCTAAATAGCAAACGGTAGGGCCTAGGAAAGATGGCCAACAATCTCACTTTGCCCAGAACTCTCCCAGTTTTTCGCAGAAAACTCTGTGTTCCGTGAATCCTCAGTCCTGGGGAAATATCCACATTTGGTCTTCATAGCTCTAGGGGACTTTGAATAATAAAAGACATTATTTTTCTTTTGTTTCTGCTTGAAGTCTTTTTAAAAAGTGAGTCTTTAGTAGAAAAAACACTAGACAAACCCATGTTATACAATAATATTTACATATTGAGTCAGTTGCTGTGGACTATCTTCTTCATGCTGGTATTGTGTTAAGCTGTGCTGTCAAAGGTAGATAGAGATGTAGGTGATTCTATCCCTGTACCTAGGCTAGGCAAGTGTAGAATTAAGTAGGGAAGAGAAATGTAGGGCATACTCCTGGGGAAAACTCTTCACAGATGTTATTGTGACAAAACATATTAGACTGTTCAGGAAAGTGACTGCTAGTGATTAACAGAGGACATGAACCTTAAGGCTTCTCAGAGTCTAGATTCAGTTTGTAGGTGGCTAGGCAGAAAATTTAGCTGTGATGTTTTTAAGTAATGCACAGTTCCTAAATGCCCAAGTGCTATGGAAACCACCAGGGAATCTGAAAACAGAGTGTGGCATTAGTTTCAAAGGAAACCAAATTCTCTAAGAAATGAAATGGGAAGTTTGGAGGATAACAAGTGGGGAAGGGTAAGGTCAAGGGAACCTGGGAAAAGAAACTACTATTTAAGAGGGCCATGGAGTTTTTCTCAGTTTCCTCCTCCTTTTTAGTGTTACTCCACCTATCTTCCTGTTTCCATAGTCTTGTTTGACACTCACCACTGCATTCAGGGATTTGAGATGCTGTAGTGGAAAAGACATGTGGGTTGGAGCTCAGAGGCCTGTACCACTTACTGGCCGAATGACTTCCTAGCTGTGCTGGGATTCTGCTTATTATAAAATAAACGCATACACAACTACATTACTAGATTGTTCACAGAAGGAGTGGGATAATTAATGCATGCAAGATACCTGATATTGTAATTGGAGGAAATGAGGGGCTCTTTTTATTTGATCATCTGTCTATGTAAGAACAATCTCATTTATATAGCTTCAAAGAAATTCCAAGGGGGAAGTTGAGAACACTAAAGTAAATTAAGACAGGCATGGATCACTCCTTCACCTTTCACCCAGCAATCTAACCCTCCCACTCTTGTGTGTGTGTGTGTGTGTGTGTGTGTGTGTGTGTGTGTGTAACATAAATCAAGATATTAGGCCCTCCCAGGGCCACAAAGACATGGAGACATGGTTGTCTCATGGCTTTTCTTTCTCTGTGTGCCATGCAGGCAGTATGGCACACAGGGTAGAGGAACGTGTAAATGTGGGAGAGGTGACTCCTAAGTATATGTGTTAAAAGAGGATTCCTACCACTCTACAGTAAGATCAGTTAGTAGTCAGATCTTATAGGACAAGTTCTGGTGCTTCAGGGAATAAGCCATGCATACCCATTTACAGGGAGGGGTAGGTTACCAATGAAGTCTCATTACCTGTTTTTGCTCTTCTTTGTTTGGTTAGCTTCTGAAGTTCAAGAAGTTTCAAAGCTGCTTGTGTCTGCCAATGCTGTCCTTTGTCAGAAATCCCCCCTCCCTCACCCCTGTGCTGTAAATCCAGCAGTCTTCTTGTTTCCTCCAAGTATCTCCAAAATGCTTTTCTCAAACTTAACACTGCTTACCCCACCATGCTTTACCCAGTGCTAAGCCCAAGCCTTTATGACTCTCCCTCTGCCTACATTACCATCCTCTGACCTGTCATTCAGGGATGTCACAGGACTCCACTCAAGCCTTAAGTCTTTCTCCAGTCCCTCCCTCCTCTCTCCCAACCCTCTTCCTCCCTTTCCCCCCCTTCTCCATTTCTCACTTCCTCCCTTTTCCTCCCTCTCTCCTTCATCCCTCCCACCCCTTGATTCTACCAACTCTCCTTCCTTCATCCTGCTCACCTTTTGCATCCCTCCCTTCCTTCCACCCTTTGCCTCCCACCTTCCCTGCCTCCCCCTCCCTGCCTGCCTCCCTCTAATTCCTCCCATCCAACTTACTGGTGTCTTACCCCTTTCTGCAGCTAACCCAATAAATCAGTTTAAACACAAGTAATAGTTGCCATTGTTTATTGATTATTTAAAAATACTTCTTGAAAAGGATTTTTATTGAAAAATGAAAATATGTGATAAAGTAATTTTGATTAGAGAAAAATAAAAATCAGTCTAACAGCTACACCTTTCAGTATTAGTTTCTAACATCTATTCTCATGCATATTGTTAGTATGACTTGTAATTAAGATAACCCCACATAATGTAGGGTTCAAAGAGGGAGGCATGCAAGGTTGGTGGGGAAAAGCAGCTCAAAGTCGTCAGGTTCAGTCCATCATCCAAGAGGCAGCGTCGTTGTACAGGTAGCCTTAGTTCATAACCAGAGAGAGGTTCAGTGGAAGATTCAGAGAGCAGCAAATGCTGATGACAGCTGAGGTAACAGAAGACAGATGGCCAGAAGTCACTAGGACCCACCATCTAACCAGCAATTATTTCATCACGCCGTCTTCGATTCCACCTGTGCCTGAAGCAATTGTAATGACAATAGTGTGATGGAAAGGACACAGTTCGCGTACTCCACTCGATGTTCGGGTCATGTGTCTCAAGCCAGTGGATTCCAAGAATCAGAGGGTAACGTGGAGCGTGAATAATGTCAAACTGGAGCTCTTCAACGTGATTTCCGATTTTGACTTCAACAGGTGGTGTTTCTTTGGTTACAGGTCCATTAATCAGTGGACGCCCATCGACTGTTTCGAGCATGAGAGGGAAGATGTTGTTGCGGATTGGTATTTTCTCTCGAAGAACCACAGAACGGTCGATGCTGTTTCTGTAGGAGCCTGAATCCACCATTGCTTGCTCAAAGAACTGTCGTCTTCCAAGCCGAATCTCAACAGTTAGCCATAGGGTACGGGACATAGATATTGGAAGGGAGGGGGACGCGTATTTGTAGATTGGCCCGCCCGGGATCCCCCTTACCGCCGGGCCTCCAAGTTTCCCGCCTGCTGGGCACGATGAGGCTTGACAGGACAATCTCTGGGGAAATGACCAGGATGGCCACAGTAGAGGCACAAGTGGCCTTCACGGCGTCTGGCCCGTTCAGCTTCACTGAGGTGGGGGCGGTTACTTGTAGCTTGAACAGCCTGGTTTTCAGTTGGTGGACTCTCAGACCCATTTTCCTCTTCGGAGGATGATGAATCAGAATCAGCCTTCCCACCTGTCTTCTCTTCAAGGGTGACACACTCAATGATCACATCAGATAGGTTGGTGGCTGGACTTGGGCAAGACAGTTCGTTTTGAATAGAACTGGCAAGCTCTTCTTGAAATTGGATGTGGAATGTGCTTTCATCCAAATTTAGCTCCTGAGCAATGAGATGGAAGCGAGTTGCATATCTATGGACAAGGCCTTCCCCTTGGCGCAGCTGAGGGAGGCCATGGTTAGCCACTTCCATGCTTTCTGGATTGTCAAAAGTATCCTGGATCACTCGAAAGAACCTTTCAAATTGTTCCCCCAGGGGGCTTTGGATATCTGCTAAGGACTGGAACAGCCTTCCTACCTCACCAGAGAAGAAGCTGCCAACAAAACTTATTAGAGCTGCTTCAGTGGGATACAGGTGCCCTCTGGTTCTCAGGTAACTGTTCAACTGAACTAAAAACTCAAAGAGTTTCTGAGAATCCCCATTGAAAGCCAAAGGGTCCTCTAGGGGCAAAGCTACAGCATCTAATCTGCTTTGGGCCTGTGGAAATGCAGAAGCTGTTGCTGTTCCCACAACTACCAGGCCCTCTGGGGATTCCTCAGGTACTGAGAGTTCTAGGAACTCCTATGCATCTGAGGAGTCCAGGGGCTCCTGGGGCACCCAAGGCTCCAGAGGCTCCTGGTTAGTTGGATGCTCAAGGGGCTCCAGCTGTGATGAGGTCTCCTGGTATTCTGGAACCTTCTGAGACTCCTCATCATTTGTAGGGTTGTGGAGCTGTGAATTCTGGAGCTCCTTGATGGCTGGGGTACCCTGGGTGTCTGTGGACCCGGCCTCCCAGACTGCTGGGAGATCACAACCCCTTGAGGATGCCTGGGGCTTCTGGGTTGCTGGGGACTCCAGAGCCTTCTGGATCTCCTGGGGTTCCTTGGCTGCAGGAGGCTTCCAGGCTGAGAGCTTCTGGAGCTCTGGGGGACTGTGGGACCTCTTGGCCTTTGTAGGCTCTTGGAGTTGC